GTGAACCACGGTGATGCACGCCTGGCGTGGTCACTCCATCATATACCCACGACGTGTGCGCCACATAGTGCGCACCCACATGGGACACACGTCCAGATGCAGCCGCACACGCATCACACACTTGACACGCGCACCGCACAACGCATACGCGCAAGATTGGGGGGGGGCGTCGCTATGCGTGCAAGCGTCCCAGGGTGTGGCAGGCGTGGCACATCTCCATGCCGCAGGGGGTGCGCACGGGGTGGGGCCGCTATGCGTGCCAGCGTCCCAGGGCGTGGCAGGCGTGGCACATTCTTCGCGCCGCAGGAGGTGCGCAAGGGGTGGGGTCGCTATGCGTGCCGGACTCCCAGTGCGTGGCAGGCGTGGTGCAGTCTCCGCGCCGCAGGGGGTGCGCAGGAGTGGGGTCGCTACGCGTGCTAGGGTCACAAGGGGTGGCAGGCGTGGTACATTCTCCCCACTGCAGGGGGTGCGCAGGGAGTGGGGTCGCTATGCGTGCCAGGGTCCTAGGGCATGGCACGCGTGGCACATTCTTCACGCCGAGAGGGTGCGCATGGGGTGGGGTTGCTACGCGTGCCAGGGTCCCAGGGGGTGGCAGGCGTTGCACATTCTCCACCCCGCCCAGGGGGTGGGGTCGCTGTGCGCTCCATATTCCCATTGCGTAGCAGGCATGGTACATTCTCCGCGCCGCAGGGGGTGCGCAGGGGGTGGGGTCGCTATGCGTGCCAGGGTCCCAGGGTGTGGCAGGCGTGGCGCATTCTCGACACCGCAGGGGGTGGTCTCTGGGCGCGGCATCGGCCTTTTGTGCGACGTGGAAGGCCCAGCCAGGGGTCAAATTGCGGTTGGCCCCTGAGACCCAGGCTTTTGCCCTTCCTGGACCCCTCCCAGGGTACTCAGACTCCCAAGGCTTGCCCAGCGCTACCGACGGTATCGGCGAAGCAGTTGCCACTTGCATCGTTCTCGCAAATTTCACTGCAGCTATCATCACGCCAGACATTATAAGTATGTGGGGTTCTTCGGTAGCGTAATTCCCTTTCGCGTGCCGCCCGCGACGTTCCCACACACGCGCCTCGCCTCCCTCATCACCTCATCCCCACAGACACAGACACACACACAGACACACACACACAGCGTCTCGCTCGCGTCTCCTCTTCCACATACAGCCGCATACGCATCATACACATGACACGCACACCACACAACACATGAGCACCACAGGGGGTGCAATTGGGGTGGTCACCCTATCCGTTTCGGGCTCGCAAAGAGTGGCAGGCGCGACAGTTCCTCGACACCAGAGGGGGTGCGCAGGGGGTGGTCTCTCAGCGCGGCCTCTATGCGTGCCAGAGTTTGAGAGAGTGGCAGGCGTGGCAGTTTCTCGACACCAGAGGGGTTGCGCACGGGGTGGTCTCTCAGTGCGGCCTCCATGCGTGCCCGGGTCGGAGAACGTCGCAGGCGTTGCCGTTTCTCGACACCAGCGGGGGTGCGCAGGGGGTGTTCTTTCAGCGCGGCCCCTATGCGTGCCAGGGTCGGAGAACCCGGCAGGCGTGGCAGTTTCTCGACACCAGAGGGGGTTCACAGGGGGTGGTCTCTCAGCGCGGCTCCTGTGCATGTCAGGGTCTGAGAGCGTGGCAGGCGTGGCAGTTTCTCGACACCAGAAAGGGTGTGCAGGGGGTGGTCTCTCAGCGCGGCCGCTATGCGTGCCAGGGTTTGAGAGCGTGGCAGTCGTGACAGTTTTTCGACCTTAGAGAGGGTGCGCAGGGGGTGGTCTCTCAGCGCGGCCCCTAAGCGTGCCAGGGTCGGAGGGCGTGGCAGGCGTGGCAGTTTCTTGACACCAGCGGGGGTGATCAGGGGGTGGTCTCTCAGCGCGGTCTCTATGCGTGCCAGGGTTGGAGAACGTGGCAGTCGTGGCAGTTCCTCGACACCAGAGGGGGTGCGAAGGGGGTGGTCTCTCAGCGCGGTCTCTATGCGTGCCAGGGTTGGAGAACGTGGCAGTCGTGGCAGTTCCTCGACACCAGAGGGGGTGCGAAGGGGGTGGTGTCTCAGCGCGGCCTCTATGCGTGCCAAGGTCGGGGAGCGTGGCAGGCGAGGCATTTTCTCGACACCAGAGGGGGTGCGCAGGGGATGGTGTCTCAGCGCGGCCTCTATGCGTGCCAAGGTCGGGGAGCGTGGCAGGCGAGGCATTTTCTCGGCACCAGAGGGGGTGCACAGGGCGTGGTCTCTCAGCGCGGCCCCTGTGCATGTCAGGGTCTAAGAGCGTGGCAGGCGAGGCATTTTCTCGACACCAGCGGGGGTGCGCAGGGGGTGTTCTTTCAGCGCGGCCCCTATGCGTGCCAGGGTCGGAGAGCGTGGCAGGCGTGGCACTTTCTCGACACCAGAGGGGGTGCGCACGGGGTGGCCTCTCACTGCGGCCCCAAAGCGTGCCAGGGTCGGAGAGCGTGGCAGGCGTGGAACTTTCTCGACACCAGAGTGGGGTGCGCAGGGGGTGGTCTCTCAGCGCGGCCCCTGTGCATGTCAGGGTCTGAGAGAGTGGCAGGCGTGGCATTTTCTCGGCACCAGAGGGGGTGCGCAGGGGGTGGTCTCTCACCAAAAGTCAAAGTCAAGTCCGGTCGAGGGGCCTATGGAGGCACCTCGCTCCGCAAGCGGAGCCGGAGGGCGTGAGACACTACGGCAACAAAGCGCGCATGCAAGAGAATAGTAGTGGACAGGGCATCGTTAAATTACACATGATATACATCAGTCACTCTTCATGAAATCTAGAAAATGCTGTTCCACCCGCTGCCAACGGAACGGCTCCTGGTTGCGAACCACATTAAATATATTCGTGCCGTGCTCTTGTCGCAGAAATGAATCGACGGCATCTGTCCATCTTGAACGTGGCCGCCCTCGGCGTCTGACGCCGGCCGGACGCCACCGTAGAACTTGCTCGGGCCACTCTTGCGAGTCGCCGGTGGCGAATCGTGCCACGAGGCGCCACACTGAACGATCCAACACGACGAGCCAGTCCGACACAGGAAAAATCTTCAAAGCAGCGGTTACTTTCTGTTTGGTGCGTCGCCCCGCTTCCTCCCAACTTACGTGGGGAAGCTTGCTGAAACCAACTATCCGGCGGAGCATTTTTGAGCGCGTCGATGCAACTCGTGACCGCTGCTGTGCTGTCATGGCTGTTGTCGAAAGACCGTAAACAGCCGTGGGCGTAACAATCGCGTCGAAGAGCTTCAGACGAAGGCGCAAAGATATAGATCGGTTCAAAAGTACCGCCTTCTGGGAATGGAGCTTCCCCCATGCGCACTTCACGCGGTAGCTCATATTGCACTCTGATCTGTTGCGCAAGTCGCCCCCGAATTTCTTACCTAAGTATTTGTGAAACACCTGGGACGTCATAACCGGCAACTGGCAACCGGCAAGCTGCAGAACGGCGGGCTCTGCGGCATTGGAAACAGCTACGTCGTTAGTAGATATTCGCGTTTTGTCTGCATTGAATGAGAGGCCGCACGCTGACAATTCTTCCGAAAGGATGTCCAGCACGCGGCAAACCTCTGCTGCAGAACGCGCGTATATCAAAATATCGTCGGCGTAACGTATGTTGCTAAGCAAGCTGACGCCTCCAACGTCAAAGCCGCACTGCCGAGCACGCAACTTGAACCTCCGAATTGCGTGTTCCAAACTGGCGTTAAAGAGCAATGCAGACAAAACGTCTCCTTACCTGACGCCGCGTGTAATGCCGAACGCTTCACTTCCATTTTCGCTGCCCCATTGGGCACTCTAGATATCTGACAAGAGGCGCACATATTCTACATGAACTCCCTGCTCCGACAATGCTTGGAAAAGCACGTGGTGTTCCAGCCTGTCGAAAGCTTTCGTGAGGTAAATGCTAGCGGTCCACAGTGGGAGCTGCCACTCACAAGCTTTCGTGGACAGATCCTCAAGAACGACAAAAGCGTCGTCCACGGAGCGGCCTGGACGGAATCCTACCTGGTCATGCGTTTGTTCTTTCTCTAGATCAGGCTGCAAGCGTGCAAACAGTAACCGTGCAAATATCTTATACCGTCCCACTCGTGCAACTGGTCTCTCACCGCGGTGTCTATACCGTCCCAGTCGTCCATGCACAGAAGGCGTGGCACTTTCTGGACACCAGAGGGGATGCGCAGGGGGTGGTCCCTCACCGCGGCGTGCGCCGTCCGCCTGCCCACCGCGTCGAGACTCGTGCGCCATCCGCCAGCCTACCTGCAGCCCCGCTCTTTTCTGTGGTCGCCATGGCTCAGGCTGTTGTTCGCACGGCGCGTCAGTCTCCCAAGGCTTGACCAGCGCTACCAACGGTATCGGCGAAGCAACGGCCACCAACATCATTCTCGCAAGCTTCACGTCAGCTATCATCACGGCAGACATCTTATAAGTATGTGGGGTTCTTCGGTAGCGTAATGACTATTTCTGATCATTTTCGACGAGTTTAGGCTGTTTTAGACTATTTGCCAATCTTTTTGAATATTTCGCAATATGTTTGAATATCCTGGGATCATTTTGGATCGAGTATTTTTAATAATATGTTGTATTTTTCTTTCCAGCCCCGCCTGTAGGAGGACATGCCCGACCCACGCCCAGCCGCCCCCCCCTCACGCGCCGGACCTCTCGCGGCGGCTGCGGGAGGCGCGCAGGAGGGACAAAAACCGCACAGACACAAGTAAGACTCCCAGGAAGACATATGTGAAAATGTGGGAAGTGGGAAGCACGAAAGCCCTTCAAATATGGGAGGATATATGGGGAATCCTGGGATTTGTGTCTATCTATTTGTGTGTCCCTGGTCCCCTAGAGGCGCGCGAAGGGAGGGCAGGGCCGCGCCAGCGACGCGCGAAGAGGAGGAGGAGGAGGAAGAGGCGGAGGAAGAGGAGGAGGAGGAGGAGGAGGAACCCCAAGAGATTTCCTCGTCCTCATCCTCGTCCTCCTCACCCCTTTCCCCAGAAGGAGGAGGGGGAGGGGCTCCTGTTCCCTGTCCCGATGCTCGCGAG